CCCGGGCTTTCGGAGGGGGGAGGGGAAAAGCCCCAAGTGAGCTCCTAGCCCCCGGCTCCCTGGGTCCCCAGCGGTCCGACAGATCTTGGCTGCAGAAAGGAGAAAGAGAGGCCAAGAGACTGGGCTGGCGCGGAGCGGCCGGAGCGCGAAGTCGACGGTGACGGCGGTGGTGGCAGCGGGGAGCTGGGGTCACCTTGTGATGCGAGCGCTCCTCTGTGCCGCAACGCCTCTGGGAGGAAGCCCCATTGCCCTCTTCTTTCTAAGCTGTCATCCTCTTGCTGCAATCGTCATTACAGTACCGCTGGTGACGCCACTCGGCGAGCGCAAGTGGATAAATAGAAACGTCTGCCACAGCGAAGATGAAAGGAGACCCGCAGCTAATGGCTCGGCAGTGATGCGCCAGGTGTGGGCCTCGCTCGAATGGGGAGGAGAGTGTGAAAACAGAGAGACACACACACTGAGAGAGGGAGACACCCAGGCAGAGGGAATGCAAATGGAATTCCGCAGAAAGAAAAGAGCTTAACGCGGCGAGTTCCGCAGGGGCTGCGGGACTCGGTAATTGAATATGCTTTTGATTTTTTTTGGATTGTTGTTTGTCCTTTTGTTTTCTTAACTTGGTACCTTGTTCTAACACTGATGAGAGAATCCATAACTGCATTTTAGAAGTGTGAAGGCCGATTCACAAGCCTCGCTTCTCTCATCAATATTGCAATTGCCTGTCCCTGGCAAACTAACCTCAACTGGGCTCCAAAGTCTTTTTTACAAGCTACCGAAAGGCGTACTCCCTCCTCCGCAAGTTGTCTGGAGAGCTTGAGCCTGGGGTCTCCTTTCCTCCCTTCCTCCTCCCAGCCCCTTACCCCCAGCTGTCTGCTTTCTCCTGGGAACCGAAGGAGAACTTTGCCCCAGGAGCAAGGGATAATGCCTTAATATTTTTTCGTTAAGGACCGGCCTTGGCTGCTGACTCAAAATGTTTGCTTTTTTATTTTTATTTTTTTTCATTCCCCGCTCCCCATCTAGGTGGCTTTAAGATTTCCACAGCCGGGCTTGAACTCCAGATGGCTATCCATGGAAGATACCGCTTTCTCATTTGCTCGAATTTCACCTGCACTTCAGGTATGTAGTGTGGGGAGAGGTTCTAAGAGTGGCCTTTTCTCTTTTCTTGCCTGTATTTTAAGGTGTTCGTTCAGAGTCAACGAATTCCCCCGGAAACAGGTTTTGGGAGTTAAGAAGCGCCAATAAATGCGGCCCCCACAGTGGCAGTGGCAGCAGCAGATGTTCCCAGCTGGCAGAAGGCACAGTTCTCACACAGAGATTTGGGGTAGGGGTTGAAAGTATCCAGCATTGGGGCATTGGGGTTCACAAAGGTTTGACTCACAGGGTTCTCTCTGAAGCCCTGCCCCAGGGCTTAGATCACCTGCTCCAAAAGTGGATAGAAATGAGAAGTCACTGAAAATACCCTGAAAGGACAAATGACTGGGCCCTCATAAATCTTTGAGGGCTGAAGGGGGACCTCCTTGGCAGGGCTAGGGGGCGTGGGTAGTGCTTGGTGATGTCTTTGGGAACAGCCACAGTCTCCCTTTCAGGTCTTCTTTCAGGGAAACTGGAACCCATTAGGAAACCGACCCCTTGCCAGCTTTGAGCAAGTGTGTTGGGGCCAGGCAGGTGGGCTGTGTCTCTCTCCATTTTGCTGAGGCTGGGAGGCAGGCCCCTTCTCTGCTCTGCAACTCCGACAAATCTCCTTTCTCTGCCCCCTCCTCAGAGCTTCTAGCATTAAGCTGACAGCGGCAAAGGGCTGCCATGAATCCCCTCATTCTCCGTGTTCCAAGACAAAGCCCCAACTTCTGAGATTCTAAAGAAAATTCCCTCTATTACTTGGTTTTTTTTTTTTTTGGTCTTCTTTCCATCTCCTACTTTTCTCTTCTCCTTTTTCTTTTTCTCAACTCTTCTCTCTCTCTTTCCTGCCTCAGTCTTCTTATCTGTGGGCTTCCAGAGGTGATGGAAAAGCAAGGGGTTCAGGGAAAGACAAAAATTCCCTTCTCAAGTCCTGCTTTCTACTTCTTCCCTGACTGAGTAAGAAGATGCTCATTAACCTCACATCGGGGTAGGGTGTGCAGGGGGATCTGGAAGGTAATGTTTGCATAATCATCTCCACTCCCTGAGACTCCCAAAGCCACCATGTACTGAGCACGGCTAGCCCCTAAATCCCGCAGAATATTTTTAAAATGAGAGGAGCATTTGGGATCAGATCCTAGAGCCTTTTGCCGCTGTGCAGAGTTGTCCTAGGATTCTGTCATGCCCTGCCCTTTCCAGTCAACAACCCGAGGCTGAGGCTTGCTCTTTCCTTTCTGTCAAAGTCGAGCCACCCGCGTGTTTTAGATCTGACCCTGTCACCCATCCTCGGCTGGGCCCTTCCAGCACTGGGCCTGGGGAGCAACTGCCCTCCCTTCCCCCACCCATCAACTCACAGCCGCCCCCGCTGTGCTAACCCCAGTGAGGCCGAGTCCTCAGAGGGACTCCTGGCTCCCGCCCCGCCCCCAGCTTTGCATTCAATGGGAGTGCTCTGCGTTTGATCCTCTTTTCCTCCGGGGTTTTCCCTGCGAGATGAAAGCGGAGTAGGATTGAGAGATCAAGAGGTGCCACTTGGGTCTCTTTCCTGGGTTCGGCCCATCCGAGCGGGGCTTCCCCTTGCGTCCCGGGAGGAAGGAGGCTCGAGCCCCGGTTCAGCCTCTCCAGGAACGGGACTGCCTCCTCTAGGCTTCGGATCTGAAGCTTCCCAGGGACACCCCTATCTCTTTCCCGACTCCTGCCTCGGCCCTTCCAGAACTCAATTTCCCCTGTCCTTAGGGGCCTATTGCACCCCCCGGCGCTCAGGAGGAAAACAAAAATTTTAATCAAATGTCACCTCTCCCCAAAGCATCCTTTCACCGACATCAGTTGAAGGGAGGT